GTCCTCAGGCCTCCTCGGCGTTGAGCTCAGGGCCTGGATGTTGCGGGGGCGAGGCAGCCTTAGATGCGGTTGCGTTGCATCTCGCTGCGGCTGGTGAAACGAGCCAGCCTCACGCGTGCACACAAGGATTCTCCAACGATGCGTCCTTTAGTGAACACGTTACCTCTGACTGCACGTATAGAACGTTTGCAATTGCTTACACCCAACCTACCAAGGCCAAGTGAGGGCTCCTGTGTTGTGTCGGCAGACCTCGCTACATCCGTGCAGGAGAGTTGTACTGCACACTACAATGGAGTGAGCCTCCAGAGGCCTCGTTAGATGAAATAGAACAAGTATTATACTAGCAATGTTGAGTGGTAATACTTTATATAAAAATTTAAAGTAACCTAGTTAAGAAAGCTCCGCAGCCACCATAGGTTGGGGTCTGGCTATGAGACTGACGAGGCGGCGGAGAGACTTACACACGGCAAAGTCGGCATCAGATTTATGATTCAGGGATTTCCTCTTAAAGATTATTGGACTCGTATATGTTGTAACGACGATTACTTAAATATTTAGGCCATAATAGTAGAGCTATGCTGAGTTTAGAGAGTAGACGTACAGTTTAAGCCCAGTAGGGTTGACTTAGTATACGTACGTAGTAACAGCATTGCCCGCTGTTCAGTACAAGGGCTGTGGGGTAGCAATGGAGTTTTTACGTAACACACAACTGGTCTATCGGTTGTTTTGAAAGGTTATAGAGTATTTTGGTAATGTTAATAATAACCCGGGCATATTGTTTATAAATCAATTTGACTCAACCGGTCGCAGACTCATGTAGGTGCCAAGCTGGGCCAGGCGCANATATTGTTTATAAATCAATTTGACTCAACCGGTCGCAGACTCATGTAGGTGCCAAGCTGGGCCAGGCGCACTACACCCGCACCTGTAGCCCGCACACTGCTCGAACAGCTAGGCGCATAGGGAAAGCAACAAGGGTGTGTCTTGTTCGCTTGGTTCTTACATTTAGAACGCGCAAAAAGCTTAACCGATTTGTAGAGAAGTAAGCCATTTGATTAGGGCTGCTAATCCTCCTGGGCCTTGTCTGTTCCCCCCGAGCTGTGCTCCCCCCGTTGCAGCGTGGCTCATCCCCTCTTTTCGGGGACCAATGAGAGATATTTTATATTTCAGCGGGTGTGTTTTGCTGCAGGTTCCCGCTTGTTACGGCTCGTCGGCTCGCCACTCACGAAAATGGCGAATCCCTCACACTCCCAGGTTATCGCTGCCCCGGACAGCTCCGGTCGGCTGCTGCGTCTGGTGAGCGCAAGCTCCGTTATGATGCAGTTGTTGGGCAAGAGCACCAACATCCGCATGTCTCAGATTCTAGAGCACCACGAAGATGATGATTTTAGTGCACACCGCACTAAAATTGTGTGCACGATGGGCCCAAGCTGCTGGGACGTGGACAAGTTGGTACAGCTCATTGACGCAGGGATGAACGTGTGCCGTCTTAACTTCTCGCATGGTGATCACGAAACTCACGGACGCGTGGTAAAGAACTTACAAGAGGCTCTTAAGCAGCGCCCGGGGAAACGCGTTGCCTTGCTCCTGGACACCAAGGGGCCGGAGATCAGAACCGGTATGCTGGAGGTGAGCGTCTGTGGTCCCTTATACGACACGAGTATAACTTCAAGTAANAAGCCGATCGAGCTCAACGCTGGTGATATGCTTAAGATTGTCACGGACTACAGCTTTGTCGGCAACAAGAGCTGCATTGCCTGCTCCTATCAGAAGCTTCCCACCTCGGTCAAGCCAGGTATGTGGTGCTGTGCGCGTCGATAAGCTGGGTGCAGGCAGTTACGTTGTTGGATGCATGCACACATAAAACGCCATTTTCCCCCCGCCGTATGGCTATTGTTGTTTATGTTCTTTATTCAGGAAATACTATCCTCATTGCTGATGGTTCACTTTCTGTGGAGGTTGTTGAATGCGGGACGGATTACGTCATGACGAGGGTGATGAATCCTGCGACAATCGGCAACAAAAAGAACATGAACCTTCCTGGTGTGAAGGTTGACTTGCCTGTAATTGGTGAAAAGGATAAGAATGATATCTTGAACTTTGGCATACCCATGGGCTGCAACTTCATCGCGGCTTCCTTCGTACAATCTGCAGATGATGTGCGCTACATCCGCAGCATTCTTGGCACCAAGGGACGCAACATCAAGATTATTCCCAAGATTGAAAACGTCGAGGGTTTGCTGAACTTCGACGAAATTCTGCAGGAGGCCGATGGTATTATGATCGCTAGAGGTGATTTAGGAATGGAAATTCCTCCTGAAAAGGTCTTCCTTGCCCAGAAGATGATGATTTCAAAGTGAGTTTTTGCATTTCAGACTCTTCGCTTGTCACGGGAATTGTAGGGGCAGTTGAACTAGGCGTGTATGTGCTTGGCTCTTCTGCGACGATTGAAGGGCTTGAGTGTTGACTTTTCCATGTTGTTTCTCAGATGCAACGTGGCTGGAAAGCCTGTGATCACGGCTACTCAGATGTTAGAGTCGATGACGAAGAACCCGCGACCCACTCGTGCTGAGGCCGCTGATGTGGCAAATGCCGTTCTGGACGGTACGGACTGTGTCATGCTCTCTGGCGAGACAGCAAACGGAAGCTTCCCTGCACAGGCGGTTACGGTTATGTCTCGTGTCTGCTTCGAGGCCGAAGGCTGCATTGATTATCAGCAGGTCTTCAGGGCCACTTGCCAGGCTACCATGAGTCCCATCGATACCCAGGAAGCTGTGGCACGCGCTGCTGTGGAGACAGCTCAATCTATCAACGCGTCACTTATCCTTGCACTCACCGAAACAGGCCGCACTGCCCGGCTGATCGCTAAGTATAGGCCAATGCAGCCAATCTTGGCTCTCAGTGCTTCGGAAGAAACCATCAAGCACCTGCAGGTTAATAGAGGCGTCACAACTCTCCTGGTGCCGTCCTTCCAGGGAACGGATCAGTTGATCAAAAATGCGCTTTCTGCTGCCAAGGAGATGCAGCTGGTCAGCGAAGGCGAGAGCGTTGTTGCGGTCCATGGCATGAAGGAGGAGGTTGCTGGCTGGTCGAACCTATTGAAGGTCCTCGTCGTTGAGTAGATGTTCTGTCACAGTTTTCCCTGGTCATATGCCGGCAGCGTATAACGTGGTTTTTCTGAACTAACAGGCGGCGGTGATCGCAGAGGCTGCCGTTGGGCATGTTTGATACCCCTTGCGTTGAGTTTCCTTTTTTTCCAACAAAATGATTTAAAAGTTTTCCTTACTTAGCGTTGTCTGACAGTGCCCGAAATTGGGAGTACCTTTCGCTCCCACCAGCACAGTAGCAGGTCGCTAGATGCCGCGAGTCCTCAGACTGGACAGCGAACTCGGTAAAAAGTAAAACTGTACAACAGGTAAGTCTGCGTGTCTGGAGACACTGCAATGAGCGCAGCGGTAACGCAGTTGCTCGTTGACTTCAGGGAGAAATACAAGGATCCTTTGTCACGGAACAACGGGTAAAGTGTCCGTGGGACTATCAAGACCCGTGGGCTGCTCGTCGCGAGCGGAGCATGCATCCGTGAACGGGTTTGGACTGCGACAGAGGTCTGCACTCGCCATCAGCGACCGCAATTCCTGAACAGACAGGGAGCAAGAAAGCACCTCTTCAGCCGATTGGCTGCCCATCCGAGCATCCGCAGTGCACATCGTCGTAAACTGAGTCTTCCATGAGCACTTACCTCAGTAGCCAAGCCTGTCGGTAGAGGAAAAGTCGACGAAAGTTGCTGTGCGACTGCCGGAAGCAGTACAGTAGCGAATATGTCGCACAAAACGAAGAATTCCGCTTGGGTTACGCTGCCTTCACGTCCGTCGTCCTTTTGAACTAAACGTTGCTCAATCGCATTTATCTCTGCTTCGAAGTTCTCGCGCCTCCCCGGCTTCACGGAAATCAGCTTGCGTATGCAGAAAGCCAAAAGGCTTTCTATCAAGCTGACAACGACGGGGGCTGTTGTGGAAATAGGGCACTCCTGGAAGGCATTGGCTACTTCGAGTATGCTGTTGTAGAGATTTGATAGGGGTGCATGCCGCAGTAGGAAGACGCAGCTACGGTTGGCAGAGAGGCACGATTGGAACCAAGGCGAGGTCCCCAGCAGGCTTAGATGAGCCGTTGACGGCACGCAGTCGTACTCGTCGATACTCTGTAAGCAGTCACGCCACTCAGCACCCATACAGCTCAAGCCACCTTCGCAATCACCACATTTTAACAGTTCATCTGATGAAATCTTTGTTACCTCACCCGCGCGAAGGCCGCAGCAATCTCTTCAAGTCTTCTTCGATGCATTGCGACAACGTAGCGGTCAAATGTGAGGGCCGCTACGGGGAAGAAGTAGCACTGCACTCGGCGAAATGCTGTTGCCGCAGTATGCACTTGTCTGAGTATCGTGGCGAGATCCAATAATCCCACTCTGAATTTTGGTACGGGTCGCACGTTCTTCTGCGTCACGCCTGCTTCAACCGCTGCAAGATCAAGTGACGCTCTTGCTCCTATGGAATCACCATCAACTGGCTCTGATATCTCTGTGCGTTGCAGAAGCTCTTTATCGAGTAATTTAACAAACCAGTGCACCTGCTCCGCCAGCCAAGCCGACAATCGCCCATCCGTTGAACCGAATATCGCCCTGTAAACACGTTATCCATCCCTTGAGGTAACATCACTGCACGCTTGCCAGCAAAAAAACAGGCGTCGTAGGTGTTCCAGAATATTCTTTCAAGTAAGCGTGGTGTCGCTAGGCGACAACTGCAAGGAACAATGGCTCACCGGTAGTTTATAGCTGTTTGCAAAACATCCACGCGAAGCAGCTCTGATGCCGCGCGCAAACCACTGACGGCAAAGCGCAAACACAAATGAAGTTTCAGAGATTCTGTATGNGCTCTGATGCCGCGCGCAAACCACTGACGGCAAAGCGCAAACACAAATGAAGTTTCAGAGATTCTGTATGTTACCATATAATATATAGTCGCCAAGTCACTACAATCAAGGCAGAAGGGAAGGAATCGCACGGATTGCCCAGTCCTTCTGAGGTCGTGTAAAGAGGTGCCACCTACTGAGCTGGGTCGGTTTCACACGATCCTTCTGCGTTGCGCCGCTGACGGGAAATTTCCCCTTCCCGCCGCCGTAGATACTGCATCCTCAGTTGCTCTTCAGAGCAGCTCAGGCGGCGAAGTGGGCTGCAGTAGCAAGACAAGGATACGGAATACCACAATCAGTCCACGAAGTGAAAGAGTTATATGAGGCATGGTCCAGCAATATCCTTCTGCTCTGTCGCCTAGTATGTTACTACGCGCTAGGGGAAAAACAGCCGAGTTCGCCCACCCGATGAGTTTCATTGAAGGAGACAGCTGCGCATGCTGC